GCAGTTCGTTCCAGAGGGTGGGAGCTCCCACAGAGAAGGCCCTCCCCCTTGGGGTCGCCAGCCGGCACTGTCTGGCTGACGGCACCCTGAGGAGACCCACTCTGTGAGAGCGTACAGGTCGGTGGGGGGTAGTCTGTGGCAGGAGGCGGTCTCGAAGGTAACCAGGTCCGATGCCATGGAGCGCTTTAAAGATAATAATTGAGGATTCACACCTGCCATTTTGACAGATTGACTCCTATGGATGCCCTACCGCAGTGGTGGCGAACCTATGGCACGCGTGCCAGAGGCGGCACTTGGAGCCCTCTCTGTGGGCACGCGTGCCATTGCCCCAAACTCGCTTCCCCCCACAGCCCCCTCCTCACCAGCATCTCCCCCCAGAGGAGAGTCTCCCCCAGGCATGGCCTGTGCGGAGCAGCGCAGCCAAGGACATGGCAGCCGTGCAGCAGGGGCAAGATTCCGCCCTTGCGCCCCATCGTGTGCAGATGATGCTGTGGGGTGCGGGTGGAGGGCGTGGCTGCCATGGCATTGCAAGGCCGCCTGGGCGATCTGCAACAGGCCGTGGAGGCGGTGAATGGCCCTGCAGGTGGGCGGGGCAGAGTGCAGGCGGGCTGGGGGCGGGGCGGTTTTTGGGCACTCGGTCTCTAAAAGGTTCGCCATCACTGCCCTACCGCCTTATTCAAGCATCTCTTCATTCCATCCTAAATACCCTTCCCACCATAAAGATTCACTGATACATTATGTTGGTCACGGGTAGTTCTTGACTTATAACCCATTTCTTTAGTGACTGAAGTTACAGCAGCACTGGAAAAAAAACGACTTATGACCACTATTGCAACCTCCTCACAGTCATGTGATCAGAATTGGGATGCTTAGTAATTTGCTTGTATTTATGACGGTTGCAGTATCCCGAGGTCAGTGTCCCGAGGTCATGGCTTTTTGCCACATTCTGGCAAGCAAAGGCAATGGGAAAGCCAGAGTCACTTAACGGCCATGTTACTAATAGTGATTCACTTAACAAAGGAGGCAAAAAGGTTGTAAAATAGGGCAAGACTTACTCTCACTTAGCTACAGAAATTAGACTACCTATATTCCCATCCGCTAGTTATAAACTCTCCAGAATTTTATTAAGAAACAAGCTATAAATCAGGGATCTTCAAACTTGGCAACTTTAAGACTTGTGGACTTCAATTCCCAGAATTCCTCAGCCAGCCCTGGCTGAGGAATTTGGGAGTTGAAGTCCACAAGTCTTAAAGTTGCCAAGTTTGAAGACCCTGCTATAAATGAATCAGACTTCAACAGGGAGTAAGTGCCCCTATGTACTGCATATCAGAGCTACTGAAGCTTGGAGATCTCAGAGAAATAATAGTTTGTTGAGTTGGCTGTATTGTCTTTAACAGTGAAGATGCTCTCTTCTTGTCT